TTAACCCACTTTATCCAAGCCCCCGGGGCCAGACATACATGAAAACATTCAATTTGCGCTCGCAATGTGCCGAAAACAAACATCTGATTTATCGAGGCGGCGTCAGGAAATAAGAACAGACCACATTTCAGAGGTTAGTCATCAATAAAGCAATGCATTTCTGAAAGAAGACATTGCAATCCACTGTAGAAAAAAAAGCTGGACACTGTTTGCACGTCATCAAAACAACAACTGAAGCCATTAAGCGAGCTTCTGAAATGTTTATGAGAAATAGAATATTTTGAAAAACGGAAAGAAATGAAGGTTATAAAAGAGATCACTCAATGAGCCATCGCTGTGGCAACAAAAGCTATACCATCACAGAGAGAAAGAAAACATGGGGTTCATTCTCAAATCTTAAGACGACTGCAGCCAAGTGCATACTGTAAATGTGAAAGGAGTGCAGTCGCCATAGTGCATTAGCAGTTCGGGGACATTCAAGTTTAATGACCTCACCATCACAATTTCCCTTCTCTCTATGTGGGGTGTTTTTACTGCTGGCTTTATCTTCTTTTTTAAAAGTTTTTATTAACTTTTTCTGTACATCTCCTCCCTGTCACACTATTTTTGCATAATAGAAGAATAACAAATCGTATATGCACCTCGTTTCACAGAAGCAGAGAAAGTAATACACAAAACAGATCCTCGCTAAAGGTTAGTCAATTCGGCGGGATGTGTAATCAACCAGACATATCTCTTTCTGTTAATTGCTTGATCCTCCCTTAAATGCATTTGCAGAAAGGAGGAGAGCCACACTCCGCTGATTGCTTTGCAAGGTGTGTCTCAGATTACAGGAAAAATGTGCTTCCAGGCTGGTGCACCTCATGGGAAGCAAGGTGGAAGAGATTTAGTAAACGGGTCCCTCTGCAGCCTCGGGGCCTATGCATATAGTCGTATAATACGTGAATCTCTCCTGACAGCGAGAGCTAGGCTGCTGTCTGCTTATGTATAAGATAACCAAATCAATTATCCGCACTTAATTCACATGCGATTACTCTGTTTGATCACATTATACCTTTGCCAAGATTTATACTCTTAATTGCACTGCTCACGTAAACAGCACAGAGCGTCTCGTTCGGTTCACAATGTAAATAAAACGCTCTTGTATTTTGCATTGAATTAATGATATCAGAACACAGAGGTGCACATTTTCCAGACACTGCGGCATCACAGGAGCCGAGATGAGACAAGACACGGCCCAAAAAAAAAAAAAAAACTGAGATGAAACAGGGTTGGACAGGTTGGCTTTCCGTGTGTAATCAAATCTAAAGCTAAAAACGAAAAACTTCCAGTTCACTGACTTCCCACCTGTTCCCTTCCAAAATAACTATTCACAAAGAGCCGTGTTGTCTCTCGCCGTTATTATCAGGACACACTGGCTGTCATTCAAAACCCTTTCAAGCAAGCAACGTAACTGAAAGCAAAAACAAAACAGGTACACTGGTTATTAGCGAGATGCACTAATCCCTCGCGCACGCACAAATACCAACTTGCTCAGCTGCTTACAGCCGTTTACCATCAATTCTGTCGCGATGAGATCGGCCGCTGCGGCGAGAATACTGATGCGGAGACACAACAGAGGAGATCAGACGGTAAAGAGAGAGACAAGCTATTCTGATTTTCTGCAGATATTGAAGGAGTTGACCTTTTGACCTGGACACGAAGACGATAATTTTATGGGTGCATGGCTGATTTCTTGCATTAGCATGCCGCGAGGCGAGGCGAGGCTTCAGGAAATAGACTCATCCAAACCGACAATACGTTTGCTTCATACAGTTGTTGAAGTTAAGCTGAAAAGAGCAAAAGTCATGTGAACCTTTCATTTGTCTTATTTCATCTGTTGGATAAGGATTGGATTTTGCTTAATTACAAATTAATTTGCATAATTTCATTGCATTTAAACCATAGACTGTATAAAAGATGGACGTGGCAACCGGCCCTGAAAAATGAAGCCAACCCGGAAGTGTCAAAAACCTGCAATATCACTACGTCCGCTAGCTGCTGGCTCCAAAAAGACCTGGCTCCCATAGAAATGAATGAAGTGATCACAGATCATGAAATACTGCATTCCTACAGCTCAAGATTTTTTAAAAATTAGTTTTCATGTTCAAATCCAGAGATCAGGTGGCCAATCTGAAAATAAATCAATACTGAATTTTTCAAAAATCATCAACATTTTGCGCGGCAAGGGGCGTGGCTGGCTTGATTGACAGTCGGCAGCGACCATACAGACGAAGCGAGCAGAAGGCGGTAAATGTGGGCGGGCAGAGAGGGCCCGCCTCTCAATCCGTCTGACCAATCGCTGCTCCTATGGCTCCGCCCCCCTCCGACGATTTTTGCGTCACTGGCTCCAAAAATCCAAGATGTCAACCAGGAAGTAGCAAAACCCTGGCTTCATTTTCTCAGTGCAGAAACCAACGGGTGACGTCACGGAAGCTACGTCCATCTTTTATACAGTCTATGATTTAAACTTCATTTTAATTTGATGTATATTTCTTAATAGTTGTTTTATTCTTTTAAATTTAATATAAAGCACCTTGAATTTCCCGGGATGTGCTATATAAATAAAGTTGCCCACAATATTTCAACCAAATGTAAATATTTGTTTGAGGAATCAAGACATTGTGCAACATGGCAGAATGCACGTGTAGCGTTCAGCTCTGCCGCTTGATTCCAGACTCGCTTTGCAGGCAGTCCATTCAGCAAAGGAACTCAGGTAATTTAGGTATTGATTAACTTTCTGTTTGGAGTGTATGATGAAATCCAAAGAGGGGGTTAAAAAAAACCTTAAAAAGTACGTTAACAAAGTCCCGTTGAATGTGTCTTTCTGAACCAGGCACACTGTGACTTTCCCATTTGTCAGCAGCAGCAGCAGGCACACTCTTGTCAGTGGCGCTCTTCGATGTACTCTGCTTCCATTTCTCCTCTCCACTTAATCAGAGGTGCAGTCAGTCATATTGCCACATAACAAACAAATATAATAATTCAAGCCGGACCGCTGTTGTTAGAGTAACCACTGATGGAGCGCTGATGAAAACACCATTTCCAGTTCACGGCAGACCGAAAGTGGACGGAGAAGAGCAAAAACAGCACAAGGTTACATCCCCGGTGTCTGACTGGTAGCTCGCAATGTGACTGTATATGCGCAAGATTGATTTTACTAAGTGCTGCCTCTGGCATTCAGGAAGAATTAAATATGACTAGGTTATACGTGTATGTAAAGCCGAGCGGTGGGAAATGGATGTTTGCTCGCATGCATGTGTTTGAACAGGAGGCATATTTGTGTGCTTTTCAAGCAAAATAACTGTTTCGGTATCTCAGGAAAATGTTCTAAAATGATGTATGTTTAGAGCAGACAGAGGAGGGCAGGTTGGATGCATTAGCTTTAACTTGAGGGACGACGGTGCAGTAATTTAAACCCAAACCATCATCTGTCACTAACTTAAACCACGTCTAACCAAACCTTTACCACAACCTTAACACATATCCTAAGTATGTGTTGCTTTTTTTTTAATATTAGCTATTATTTCTTGTATTTACTTCTTTGCTCAAGTGATGAAATATGTATTCCAGTCATGGACGCAACAATTATCCTGCAATCCCCCTGCTCTTCATTCATCTTTTATTTCAAATGGCTCCTTTCCTCATGTTTGCTTGCGTCCACGTTTAAAGTGGAGCCATTTCAAGAGCTCTTGCTCTTCATTTAGTGAGGCCACGTGAAACAGTCACAACGAAATAAAAACACGTTTGTCGCTCCTCTTCCCATGAATCCTGATGGCGCATCACTCCTCGGGTGGGTCTTAAAGCCTATAAACTCGTCCAATAAATTATTAAACGCCGAGTGATAAAATGTGAATGGTGTTGCCAAGGGTGGCCATTACACATTTTTCCAGTGTTGTGCCTCCATATAGGTCAACAGGAAGAAGTCGGTTGCATTTATTTTGGGGGACGCTGCTAATAGAAAGGTTGGTGAAGCTATCAGTGACTTAAGATTTCACAAATGCATCCATCCACTTAAAAGGCAGTACACATGTTGTCTCCTCTCGTCTTTTATTTATTATATATGACAGTTTAAAGCACCTCCGTCCTCACTTCAAGGTATTTAATCCACACAAGGTATTTTATTTTTCGCTAATCACCTCCTGTTAATCAGAGGATTTGTTCGGACATTGCTGAGCGTTGATAAGAGAGTTTTAATATAGAAAACAATGGGTGGTTTCATATTTCATGGCTAGCTGGAGGCACCAGCAGCACCAGGAGGCAGAGAGGTAACAACAAAACAAAAAAACTGACCCCAGCTACGCAATTAGCAGCATCATGTAGCCGCACAGAGCTGCTGCCGTCTGAATGCTTTCTGCTCGTTCTGCGGTGCGAGCTGTCCAGCCAACTGAGGACGACTGAACTTAGATCTTGCACTGAGACATAAAACTCTCAAAGATGGAAATGCCTCAGTGAGGATGATGAAAGACGTGTAGTGACACTGGCAGCAAACAAAAACCCAGCCACTCTCTGTCAGATTCGAGTCGACGGAGTCCGCGGATTCTCGGGTGTGTGATCAGATTTGTGTTTCTCGTTTTCGGCGCTGACTGAATGGAGACATCAGAACCTCGAAAATACGTCCAGTTACTGTGTATTTATTGATATATTGGTAGAAGAATCAGAAGTGTAAACATGTAGCTTCACCCCGATGGCTTGTTATTGCGTAATCCAAGAACATTATTGACACTAAAAGAGGGTAAAGCATTCCAGGAAAGTCCAGCTAATTATATCAATGTCACTAGAAATGTATTTCAGCTTCACTGGGAGAGAATTTGCTGCAAATTTACCCAGCGTAGCACTTGTTTATTGGATACATCTCTACAGTATGAGGAAGCCGGGCTGACTTATGTGGCAATTTATTCCGTTTCTGAGAATAAATAAGTATCTGCTGTCGTGCCTGTTTTGTGCTCTCTGTGCCACAGGAGAATGCAGCTGTCATGAGGGTTATTCCCCTGATCCTGTCTATAAACACCTCTGCGTTCGCAGCGACTGGGGTCGCAACGAAGGGTAAGTCCCGTCTGCTTATTCCACTCATATTTAAAGACTCGCTTGTACTTCAGCGACCTTACAGAAGATTTCACAGTCTCTACCCCCCAAACCCCATTAGTGCACCGTATTAACTTTACATAAAATAAAGGTGAATTGTTCAGCGTGATGGATTGGCTAACTCCAGCAGGTTTCCGGTGTCTGCCAGTTGATCTTCAGAGTATTGAAATGAATGGAAACCGAGGTAGGGGAAATTGATCTAACAACTTACTGTATGCTTTCAAAAAAAAAATGCCCGGCAGTCATGTAAAATATAAGCAATTTGTAGTTAATGAGCTAAAACATGCAGATGTACCTCTGCGGGTCCTTTCCACTTGAGGAAGTGGTCTCTTAAGAGGTAATCAGGACTATAGACAGAAGGAAGACTAAGTAGAAGGGAAGATGTAGTGTGTAATGGAACAAAATAGCAGGGGAGGACAGAAATTAAAGGCGTGAGAGAGAGGGGAAAGTCACCGGAAAGTGGCAGGAGAGGGAGAGAAACGAGCCCCGCGTCTGACTCTGACCTTGTTTGACAATTAGCTGGCTTCCCAAATCATTGGTCCCACGTTGTTATTCAGCTGCACCTGTCATCTGCTGGACTCCATCCAGTCACCAATCAAATTTCCATTCATTGTTTTGCAGGAGTAGCTGCAAGAACAGAGGGCAGTCTTATCCAGCTGAACATTTCTAATCAAGTCGTGCTAGTTGTGACCGTGTTTAGTGTTGTATTAAATGCGTTGTGAAGTATTTAACCCTCCTATTATCTATGGGGTCTATTTGTCCCCAGTCAGTGTTAAACGTCTCTAAATAAATGATTGACATATGTTTTTCTGTTTTATTTAAAGAGCTATTTATGCACAAACTTGGGTAACAATTTTAATTATGATAATTTTGTGGAGGTTTAAATTGCTGGGGCCAAATTGACCCCAAGGATAAAAGATGTCAGTAAATTGAAGGTAACAGGAGGGTTCAACTGCTTCACTGAAAGATCTTTATGCATGATTTTTTGCTCAGATTAGACAAACACATTTTTTCATTTAGTTTCAAAAGCACTTATTGATGAATGCTTACGTCTGATCTCGCGCCCCTTCTTCTCTGTCTTTGTGTCAAGCCCGTGGCCATATGCTAACTTGGAGAAAGGCTATGACCTAGTTACAGGAGAGCAGGCCCCAGAGAGGATCTTCAGGTGAGTCCTTTGCTTCCGACGCATCTCCCGAGCTAGCCATCTGTGACTCTGCGGACACACAATGGGACGACGATGGCGGCGGCGGCGGCGGTGTTGGTGGCGTGGGCTTGTGTGGCTGTGTGTGACGGAGCATACAGATAAGCAGCTGGCAGATGCACATAAACGCAGTCGGATGGACACAGCAGATACACCTCATGCAAGGGTGAAGTCTCACCGACGAGGCCCTCCTGTGTATGAGTGTGTGTGTTAGTGTGTGTGTGTGTGGAGAATAGCCCAAGGAGCAGTCCTGGGTGAACTCCTTCCAAATGCTTTTACTGCCATTTTTGTTACACTTCTCATTCTTGATGGGGTCATCGTGTGTGACATTTTTCAAGAAGTGCAAAGCTCAGAGGGCCCATACGATATCACTCAGCTGTTTCTTTTTTTAAGAGATCCTGTAATCCCCACTCACACCAACCCCCTGCTGAACCCGCAGCTATACAACTACATCACAGCGATATCTGTCAATACGCGGCACGATGTTATCTGTACACTTCTGACGAGTTGATATGCTTATTTTTTTTTCCTCTTGTCGGGTTTTGTTTAGCTGCGTAACCGAAGCGTGTTAAAGGATAGGCGTCGAATCTATTCTGATTTCATGCTCCCCACTCCTCCGGTTCGTAGGTAGGAGGAAAGTCTTTGTCACAGTAATCTCGCTCCTCTTCACACTGACCTTGCAGGGTTAGCTACTCAGTTTGAGTCCACTATAAGAAATGACGTACTAAACCTACAGTAAAGGGGAAAAAAAATAGGAAATAGAAAACGTATTTCATCTCTCAGCCATGCTCTGCCAGTTAAAAGCGCTACAGTATGCTTGAGACGGGACTCTGGCAGCATCGGCATCTCCGCGCACAAAGGCAGCAGCCAAATGTGCTTGGATGAAGTAATGTGTCAGTCCAGAGTTTGTTAGAGAAGAAAGATGAAAGGACAACCGCGCACACATACGGTTGTAGAGCACAGATGCATTCAGCCAAGAACACGCTGATAGAGATAGCCGACAAAAGTGAGTAAAGATGCGGCGGGCGAGGGGAAGCTCGCGCTTGGTTGAAGTTGGAAAGTTTTTATATCAGTGAAATGTATGGGAAGAGGGCAAAAAATAAAAAAGACTGCAATGCTATTACAGAAAAAAAGAGGAGCTTAATCTCGATGTGGATTGGTTTCACAGATGTAGAGCTTTAAAGGATACCAGAGCTGCCTCTTGCTTTTTTTTTTTCTTGAACATTTTTGATCTGAAGGTATGATGGCTACATAAAGAATGGATTTAAATCAAATTAGTTTGGAACTGTCTGGTGGTAAGGGGAGGTCAGACGGAGTGTAATGCATTCAGATCCTTTAATTCTGGTCGATATACAGCAATGTTTCGTACAAGTTGAAGGTTTTTGGGGGTTTTTAAACTTAAACTTGGTTTCTAGATTTTGGGGAATTTGTACTTTTGTCGCTCACCTGTTCAGATAAAAGCACAGAGCACAACCATGTCCTTTGCTATCTTTAGTCCTCACTTGTTGTTGTTATTCCCAAGCAACATGTCTGACTCCCCCCTTTCCCCCCCTGCAGGGTCACCTACTGAGGATATTAATCTTCACTTAGGAGAACCATCTCCGGCGAAACCAAATTATTTTTTTTACAACATCTTGATCAATGGCCATCAGCACACGCGTCGCATGCGCTACATGCCGAATCGCTGAGCCGCAGAACACATTGCATTTAAAGAGAAAGGAGAAAAGGGGATTACAAAAAAATAAATAAATAAAAAAAAACGCTATAAACAAAAAGCCAGGCCGACACAGCTTCTCCTAATGCATTTCTCCAATTGCGTTTCCACGTCCAACTGTGCCATAGATGCACCACATGTGAACATCAGTTAAATTAGTTTTCACACGGAATTAACGTCACAGGCGAGCAATTACTGTCTTGTTGGCATGCAGGTATGAAACTGTACAGCTCATACCTTCATAGTTAGTGGAATATAACAGAGGGCTGGCTCTAAACACTTCCACCTTTGTTGCAATATGATCTAAAAAATGTGTAATAAATTGAACAACTCTTATCATGACCAGTGGCCACTTAAGTTATTTACAAACTTCTTTGTATGTTGGTTTAATTCTTGAATGTCACACAATAAATGACCCCATACGTTTTAGCTTCTCGCCTACATACGTCCCGAAAATCCTCTGTATCAAAATCACATCCTGTCATGCCGTCTCTGCACATTCACATTGCTCTGACTGAAGCAAAAAAATATTCACAAGAAAAGCCCATTCTACCAATTATGCATATTAAACCGCAACAAAAAAAAAAAAAAAAGTAATGCCTTTCTGTCGGAAACCTCGCCACACATTCCCCGAGTCTCTCAAACCTATTAGTGTCTTTGCATGTTTATGTATGCGCATAATTTACGAGGTCTGCTTGTGTATATTAGAAAACGTAAAAATGGGACGGTAATGCAATTGACATTTATGGTTTTGTGGTTAATGCCAATACAGATCGTTCTACAGTCTGGGCCAAGGATTGTGGCTGCCAGTCAGCAAAAGCTTTGTCGTGCCACCAGTGGAGCTGTCAATCAACCCCATCGCCAGCTGCAAGACGGACGTGTTGGTTACCGAGGATCCGGGGGAGGTCAGGTCAGTCTGACTGTGCTCAGAGCTGGTTCATTTAAAACCAGTTTTTTTTTTTTTTTCCCTTTTTCCTTGGAAGGACTTGACAAATACAGTGAAATAAGTGAATGTTGAACTATAAACCATGGCTCGACCTTATAAAACTTTATTGTGTCTTGTGGCGTATGAGCCCAAATAATATATCTTTGCATCTAGTGTGTGCTGTTGCCATGACACCAGCATCCGTGTCAATATTGCAGTTCTGAGTTTAGCATAGAGTTATATGAAAATCCTCTAATAGTATATAACAACATTTAATAACACCACAGTGCTACAGCAGTGTTGCATTTGGTTTATTTGGTATTAAAAATACAAGTGAGCATTAAGGAAAGGTGTAAGGGTGCTATTCAGCAAGTATTATAAACTTCAAATATAAGCCCACGTTGATTAGAACATTTTCAAAACTAAGCAGCTCAAATACCCAAAAAAAACCCAATTATCCATAATCAGATTGTTAAATCGTCAGATGAATATTGATCTAGAGCAGCGGTCTTCAACCTTTTTTGCACCACGGACCGATTTTAAGCAAGAAATTTTTCTACGGACCGGTCGTTACACACATAACAAATAATAATTGTTTTTTTTCTATTGAAAATTTTCATAAATGAATAAAATTAATTTTTATTGCTAAACATGATTACTTTTTCTCCTGTCTCAGTATTAAGTCTCTCCCACTTTCCAAAGCAGCTCTCCTGAGACGTTTGTTTTTGCCGCTTCGTTTAGCAGCCGGGCATAAAAACTGACAGTCAAGTGACGGGAAACGAGCACAAACGGAAGTGACGGGAAGACGAGCTAGTCATTTTTCAAAATAAAACACCCTGCAGACTCTGCTGGAAATAAAAATAGACCAATAAAACGTTTTTATTCTATCTGTGCAGCCCGGTACCAAATGACCCACGGCCCGGTACCGGTCCGCGGCCCAGTGGTTGGACACCGCTGATCTAGAGGGTCTAAAGTGACAGTCAAAGCAGCGTTAAAACAACTCGGGCATACAGCAAGGATTGGGAAAAACAAATCCCAGCGGTGCAGTGGTGTCAACAAGGTTATGGATTTGGCAGTCCCACAGTGCAATAACAAAATATTGGCAACATAAAAGTTATTCTCAACCAACCAGCCAACAGACGCTGGCATGCACCAGTGCAGCTGAACATCAGAAAACATGTCAGAGCATCAGTTACAGATGGAAACAATCACCCATCTATGGAATCCAACTGATACCAGGCTGGGGAAGAGATTTTTTTTTTTAAATTTGAAACTCAAACTGTCTGCTACTGCTGCATGAAGATGTTGTCACACAACGTAAAAGACAGAAATACAGTAGAAAGTATTCCTGTGAATCACTGCAATCCACTTCAGTCCATTGTGTCGCAACACAACGGGACATAATTACATCTGTTCTCACGCTCTTTCTATAGTCTTGACAAAAGTCAGCGGTACACATGTTGCTCCATAATTACCGCTTATTGTTGTCACTGTATGGATGGAGGCTGCGCAGCTTGTGCCTGAGCTGTACCATACGTATGTTCATTCACCTTGAGGAAATCGTTAGTGCTCAAAAATACACACTCTGGCATTTCATTAAATACGCATCTTAATTCAAGATAAACGCATTCAGAATGACATTTCCAGCCTCTGACATTAAGAATGAGCATAACAAAAACAATACAACTGAGACACACAATAGTAAATACAAAGACTCTATAACTGCTTCTCTGCAAGAAGTTTTCTGCAAATGCATTCATGAAACTTTATGACATTTGCACTGCTAACACACATGCTGTACGTGACATATTAAAATTCATGTAAAGTTAAGCAGACCGTGTGATTTTCCACGAGATGGTGAGCAGTGTTTTACATGCAGACATGTTTACCCCAAGGTGAGGGAATCTGCCAATAAATGGTTGCATATAGTCGGTTACTTATTGTTTTGCCTGAGGTTTTCCCGCACACCACTACATATATTAGCTTTCTAATTCAACTCCATTTTAGGGCACAGTGTAGGTTTACATTACCATGAGTGTTGTTTTTGTCAATGTCTATTTGCAATGTGAAGAGGTTACCTCATTTCCATATTTCTAAGTCAGATTTCAACTAACCCAAAAGCAAAATGTTGTCCACTGTTTAACTGGTAAGTGACTGAATTACTTTTGAGGTGACAGAGGTGATGTTGAGTCTGCTCAAGAGGAAACATCATCCTTGGGGTGCTAAATCTTTTTTTTTTTTTTCTGGTCAACTGATTATTGATTTCCGTCGACTCTTCCATCAGCTCATGTTGGCTGTTTTTGTTTTCTCATATTGTGTGGTAAAGTATGAACACCGCTTAATCCTCACTAGGGTCATGGGGGGCTGGAGTCTATCCCAGCTGACTCAGGGAGAAGGCAGGTTCACCTGGACAGGTC